CTTCTTCCAATTCTTTCTTAGTTTGTTCTTCATGCAATCTTACATCTTCCATTGTCCAACCATGCCATTTATCCATCCAACAAAAGACTTGACGATGAAAATTTGCAAACAAACGTCGTTCTTGCTGTCATGATGAAATAATGATGTTGTTGTTTTTGGGGGGCAAAAAGGAAAATCAAAGTCGGTCAGATGAAGAGTTTATTTGTGGAAAAGTAACAAAATAGAAAGAAATACCGTGCAAAAACTCATATATAGTACAAGTTTACTTTGTAAAACAATCCACTTGGTGTATACTTCGGGTAACTAGATTGGATTGATTTTTTTCAGTGAATATTAAGACCATGCACAAATGGTCACATGTAATTATGTCAATCAATCAACTAATCAATCAATAGTGCGAATTATTTAGAAAAAACAAAGGTTAAAACATAAATAGGCCAATATTTGACAATACAATACAATACATTTTTGAAACCATGAATCGATCAATGTTAAACCACCATTAGAAACCTGGAAGCACTGGACGGCCGTTTCGTCCTGGTATGGGACTCATCAGCAGTGCGCATCCACGACTCCTGCACCCCGCAGGACTCGAACCCAGGACCTTCGGTATCGTGCGCGAACGCCCTAACCGTTAGACCACTGAGCCGGTATCTAACGGTGTTAATGTCTAACTTGATCAAATTCACGGAGTTGCGCAACCTCATACAGTCTTCGGCAGTTACTGTCTGCACCCGAACAGGTTGAACTTCACTGGGCACGTCTTCCCACTAGAACTCGGAGAAGATTCCTCACGAAGCTAGTCACTAGTGAGCACAGTTAATTTGCATTACGGGGTTGTGAAGATTGTTAAGTTACATATTTTTGAAATCATGCAATACACTATACAATAATACAATGTTCAGTTAGTCATGAATAATACTTTTATTAATCAGATTATAGTTTGTGTTATTATTTGCTATTCATTACTTGATATAGACAGACAGATACAACGCAGAACTTCGTACGTAAGTACATCAATTCAGGTTGTCATATCACATTAGCACAGAGACGTAACTGTCAGTTCAAATCCCATAGTGGTAGACATAGTAGAAGTATTAGCAGTAATGGAGAAAATTAGGGAGAGAAGATATGATTCGATAAGTAAAATTCAGTGAGATAAATTTAGAAGCAGAAAGACAAGAGGTGACGAGAAATTCAGAAGATTGGGATTTGAGAGAACACAACAAGTGGATGCACCTGCGCCATTGCAGACGATTGCGAGCCATGTCGTTCAAAGTACTTGATATTGCTGATGTTATCTACCGTCTAATGGATTTAGGCAAATTCAAGTTGATTAGACTTTATCCGATATACACAACCTTAACCAGTTTATCGTAACAACATCATGCTTAACTTGTTCATACGATGATAGCTTCAACTGATGATGAGAATGTATTGAAAAGATTCATTCTTTGCGGGGTTGTTGTGAAGATTGTTAAGTTTTTATTTGTAACCATGAATCGATCAATGTTAGATTTGATCACAGTTAGTCATTAACGTCGTTAGATACCGGCTCAGTGGTCTAACGGTTAGGGCGTTCGCGTACAATACCGAAGGTTCTGGGTTCGAGTCCTGCAGGGTGCACGAGTCGTGAATGCGCACTGCTGATGAGTCTCATGCCAGGACGAAATGGCCGTCCAGTGCTTCCAGGTTTCTAATGGTGGTCTAACATTGATCGATTCATGGTTACGAGTAAGAAGATTCATTCTTTGTTCATACATCTGTCATCATATGTGTAGTTGTTCAGTAAAAAAATAATAATAATAATTTATTCTACTCGAAATAAATGCACATACACCTGATGATAAGTAAGAAGTATTTTATCATCTTACTTATTCCTTAATTCCTTATCATTTAAATTACTGACTATAATGATCTATGATGGTGTGATTAGTCAACATATATATATCTGACTTCATGACAACAATATCAGACTAGAGAAAACCAAGCTGGTTTTCGACCCGGACGCGGGTTTCATTGACCACATTTTCACACTACGACAGGTCCTGGAGCACAGACACACATTTAGACGTCCAACAATAATCGTGTTCCTGGACCTAAAAGCGGCATTCGACTCAGTGGATTGTGAGGTTCTGTCGCAGTGTCTATCATTGAAAGGTGTACCAAAGAAGTACATTAACCTTATTCAAGCTCTCTACTCGAACACTACTGGTCGAGTGAGAGCTCATGAGGAACTGTCATCGGAATTCTCTACATCAAGTGGTGTCCGTCAGGGATGACCACTCTCTCCATTCTTGTTTAACTTTGTCGTAGACATCCTCTTAGAGTTAACATTAAGATCGTCAGATTTTTCAGGGGTTGACCTTCTACCAGGAAAGTCGCTTACTGATCTAGAATAAGCCGATGACATAGTTCTATTTGGTGAAGACGCTGACAAAATGCAGAGTCTTCTGACTACCATAAGCAACAATGCGAGCATGTTCGGGATGCGGTTTTCCCCCTCGAAATGCAAAATGTTGCTTCAAGACTGGGTTGCTTCGGCACCTGAACTAGTGATAGGGAGCGCAGCAGTCGAGCGTGTTGATCACTTCACTTATCTGGGGAGTTTCGTCAGCGCTGATAGCTTGGTGACTGACGAAATCTCAGCGCGGATACAGAAAGAACGATTGGCTTTTGCCAACCTGCGTCACTTATGGCGTAGGCGAGATATCCGTTCGCTGACCAAAGGACGGGTGTACTATGCAGCAGTTTGCTCCGTTCTCCTACACGGATGCGAAACATGGCCAGTGAGAGTAGAAGATGTTCGTAGGTTACTACTATTCGATCATAGATGTTTAAGAACCATTGCTCATGTATCGTGGGACACCCCAGTGAACAATGCTGTCGTTGGGAAACCGGTGCTAGGTAATGATGGCAGATCAATAGATGAAGTGGTGAAACTTTATCGGTTGAGGTGGTTGGGACATGTGTTACGTATGGCTAACCACCAACTGCCTCGACGAGCTATGTTTTGTGGTGTAGGTTGGAAGAAAGACCAAAACATGGTACAAATCCATGAAGTCACTGACAAGTAGACTGAGTCATGTTGGTAGATGTAGACTACCTGGTTGGGGTCCGCGAGACGAAAGTCACCAATGATTAGAAACCTATAACGACATGGCTCAAAATCGTTTGCAATGGTGCAAGTGCATCCATTCGTTGTGCTCTCTCAAATCCTAAACTTCTGGATTCGTCAACACCTCTACCTTTGTCTTTCTAACCTTATCTCACTGAATTATATTTCTTGAATAATATCTTCAAAGCCTAGTCTTCTTCATTACCATTAATACCTCTACTATCTTTATCACTATGAGATTTGATTTGACATTTGCGTCTCTGTGCTCATGTGGTATGGCAACATGAACCTATGTACATATGTACGAAGTTCTTACGTTGCAACTGACTGGTTCTAAATCGATATTAGGCGTTTTATAGCATGAGATCACGTCTGAAATAGAAACAATAAAATCTAAACAAACAGTGCATGCTTTCGAACATGTAATTGATGAAACGTATCCGACGGTATTGAAATAAGCGCTGTAACATTTTTTCAATATTCAATAGATGTAGTTAATTTTTCCATTCACTTTGAGAGTTACAGCGATATATAATTAAGTATTACTAAAAGTTTTTTCTTTTGAAAAAAACCCAGCTAGAATTACTCATAGCTGCCTCTATATTATGGACATACTATAGATGAAAATCATGAAATACAGTGAAAATTATTAGTTAAAAATTAAATCTCTAATTAAGATCACTGACACTTACATATCGGGTACCGAGTGAATAAATGAATCGAAAAATAACTGAGTCTTTAGAACAACAGACAGTGATTAGTTATTGACTCCAGGATTCTGGAGTCTATGTGCATCATAACTTTGGAATGAGAGGTTTGCAACTCCGCTATAGATGGATTATACATATGTACCAACCCGGTCAAAGCACTGGGCACTTGCATTTCATCCTCTCAATTCGGTAAACAACACCTGTGCCATGAGAAGGTAGTAAGATTTGACGGACAGTCTGGCCATATGAGGGGCAATGAGGGAAGCAGAGAGGACTCTCATCACTCTCAACCATAACTAAGGCATTTGAGCCTGATGTGAATATGCATTTGTCTAGGTTACCTACCATACAGCATTAGAACGAAAAGATGAAATGAACTAGAAATAATATCACAACACGCTGAGATAATATAATGGCAGTTTTAATGAGAGAGACTAAGAACCGTGATTAAAGAGAATACTGAAAATTACAAATCAAGTACACATGCATCTTAGCTATTGTGAATGATTGCAAGTTATGATGCTACACCCAAAATATTTAGTCACTTATCAGTGTTTGCAATCTGACCCTGACTACATAATTTGCATTGACCAATATGACTCACACCAACAACCAGTGACTTTATTATGATAGAATGATTTCATATCTTAGTTTGGTCAGCCCCAACTTTATGCAGACCTGATCTTACTCGGACATTGAAAACATTGAGAATTAAAAACGAACAAACTTCAGTAATGTCATACATACACTATGAAAAAAAAAATCATTCATGTTACGAAAAGTTTAGACAATAATAAATTAATGTCTAGTGTGAACTGAAAAAAAAAACATGATAGAAATGATAAGTTTTGTTTTGAACGTCGTTTTTATTATTTGTCAAACTTTTTTTTTAATAGACCATTTAGACTTGAATCCATTAAAAATCAACAAACCAAACAATTGCGTTTTATAAAGTCAGTCAGTTAAAACGCAGAACTTCGTATGTAAGTACATCAGTTCACGTTGCCATACCACATCATTTGCACACAGAGACGTAACTGTCAAATCAAATCCAAGAGTGATAGCGATAGTAAAAGTATTATTAGCAGTAATGGAGAAGATTAGGGAGCGAAGATATGATTCGAAAGCATAATTTAGTTAGATATATTTTTAAAGAGAAAGATAGAGATGATGAGGAATTTCGAAGGTTAGAATTTGAGAGAACACAAAGAGTGGATGCACTTGCGCCATTGCAAACGATTGTGAGCCCTGTCGTTCAACGTCTCTAACCATCCGTTACTATCTTCTCCGACCCCG